TTTCCAAACGACTCTTCGCCACCACCCACACCCAGCTTCCCGCCCTATGACGTTCGGACACTTCACTTCGTGGCATGCGGACGACCGTGGCTACTATTCAGGGCCCCGCGGCCGACGACGACGGCGTGCGCGCGCGAAGAAAAAACGAATGTGTCCCGCATGGTATTATTTGACAGGGATGATGGCCCTGGCAGGTGCGCAACCGTTGTTGCAGAAGTTCGAAAAAGTTGCTCGCAAAAGCCCGTTTGACAGAAATGTTTAAAAAGTGTTGGGTTTCCTACGAATCCGCAAGAGCGCGCGGGATGAAATTTTGACAATTTTTTTTTGAAAAACCATTGGTTTTTTTTATGTTTTTATGTTAAAATCGCTACGAAAACTAAGGTTTTGGAAGGATTTCGTCTTGCGCGCGCGAATGTCCACTTTACCTTATTTTTTGCAAGGGATTCTTGAAGTTTGGTTATGTTAGAACAAGAAATGTCATTTTATATTGTTTTTTGCAAGGGAAAGCGGGGGGGAACAAAACAACCGGATCCGGACCAACCCGTTTTGCCGGAGACTTCCTCACGAAAATGATGAAAACATGGCTGCGGCCTAGGCGCGGCGAGGGGGCCGTGCACCAGGGGCCCCAACAATAATTATTCTTTAGAAGCAATAATGTTCAACAACAACAACAACAACAACAACATCAACACAACAACAACAACAACAACAACAACAACCGCAACAATCACTTTACCCGAACGCTCAGTGTTCTCACCAGTGCCAGGGTTTTCATGCGACGCCAGCCAATACCCCCACTTTGTGGGGGGGCAGTGCAAGCTCTACCAAATATCCACACGACTCTTCGCCACCACCCACACCCAGCTTCCCGCCCTATGACGTTCGGACACTTCACTTCGTGGCCTGCGGACGACCGTGGCTACTACACTGGCGTGGAGTACACACCCACAGAAGTTGTTAGGACAGCGCGCGCGGGTAGAAATTTTGAAAAGTCGTGCAGGTGTTTTTCGAGGACCTACGGTGCGATTCGTGTGATTTTATGATGCGCGGTGCTAAAATTCTTAAGAAGCCCAATGGTTTTTGGAGATTTCGGCGTGCGCGCGCGAAGAAAAAACGAATGTGTCCCGCATGGTATTATTTGACAGGGATGATGGCCCTGGCAGGTGCGCAACCGTTGTCGCAGAAGTTCGAAAAAGTTGCTCGCAAAAGCCCGTTTGACAGAAATGTTTAAAAAGTGTTGGGTTTCCTACGAATCCGCAAGAGCGCGCGGGATGAGATTTTGACAATTTTTTGTTGAAAAACCATTGGTTTTTTGATGTTTTTATGTTAAAATCGCTGCGAACACTAAGGTTTTGGAAGGATTTCGTCTTGCGCGCGCGAATGTCCACTTTACCTTATTTTTTGCAAGGGATTCTTGAAATTTGATTATATTAGAACAAGAAATGTCATTTTATAGTGTTTTTTGCAAGGGAAAACGGATTACAACAAAACAACCGGATCTGGATCACATCGTTTTACCTGAGGCTTCCTCACGAAAATGATGAAAATGTAGCTGCGGCCTAGGCGGCGCAGGGGGGGCGCGCACCAGGGGGCCCAACAATAATTATTCTTTAGAATAAATAATGTTCAACAACAACCGCAACAACCACAACAACAACAACAACACCAACAACAACACCAACATCAACAACAACAAACAAACAAACAAACAAACAAACAAACAAACAACCACCAAAACAAACAAACAAACAAACAAACAAACAAACAACACACAAACAACAAACAACAAACAACAACCACAACAACCACAACAAACAACAACAAACAAACAACAACAAACAACGGCTCGGGACGAGAAGCCCGCGCCTCAGGGAAGAGGGTCCAGGCCTCCAGGGCCGACGCAGCGGAACAACAGGAGCGGCCGGGTGTCTGCGGGGAGACCGACCCAACGGGGGGAGGAGCATGGACCTGGAATCGGCGACACATCGCCGGCGCCGCTTCCTGGTGGAGGAACCAGGAGACGCGACGTCCCAGCAGCACGGCGAGGCTGGTGCGAGGTGTTCAAAACTGCCTCCAGCTGCTCGAAGCAGCAGGCAGGGCACAAGGGGCGGACGCGCTGGCGGTCATAACACACGGGAGGCGTGCGCCATACCACTCGAAGAAAATTGCACACACCACGAGTGGACAACTACGGTGGCAGTTTGAGCGGTCGCCGCCAGGACCGAGCACGAACATCGGGAAACTAACAAGGCTACTGAGCAGGGAGAGGGAGCGACGACGAGGAAAAGGACCAAAAGGAGGGAGAGTGGGCAGCGTGGTTGCCAGGAGCAGCTGTCACGCGCATGGGCTGCTTAAAACCATGGACCAAGCCACGAGTATGATACGAGAATGCCCCACACTCCCATGCTCGTGTCAACAAGCGGCATGCATTGCAAGGCACTAAGCGCGTAGAGGACAACGAAGGCAATGAGTTCCGAGAGGTATGAAACCGGTGAGTTAGCGGCAAAAGCGAGGCGAAGCGCCCACGCGCGTCGTTTTTCACGCCGAGGCGCCAACAAAAAAACCCTCCGACGTGCGATAGCGGATGCAGGCAGCGACACATCGCCGATGGATCGGCGACCAGCCTCTGCTAGCGAAGCCGCACGTCCGTGGCCGGGGTGGGCCATCGGGCCCCCTATCGGGGATCAGTGAGCGATTCGGGAGCCCTGAGCCTAACCCCCCCCCCCTACTCGTCGGTCGGAAGAAGTGGGTAAAAAACAGGAAGCAGGAAGGCGGGTCAAGTAGATTTGGGTCCAGGCCCTCTTAGAGAACAGCCGGACATAGCAAACTTATATATACTCTTGAAGTAGGAAGGCGCTTGAAATAGATTGGGATCTGGGAGTCCGAGAGTACCTACTTTCAACGACTGGCGTGTAGGATTGCCCCTGACCGGAGGCCTCCCAAAGGGGGCGAGAGCGTACCCTCCGAGTCAGGCGACAGATGCGAATCGTGACGGCTGGTTGTTGTACGTTGTCGACGCCTGAGGGGCCCTTTCCTGGCCCCCAGGACCTCCCTCGGAAGCCTCGCGAACGAGCGACGGACAGAAACGGGCACCTTACGTGAAAGGACACGGCGACCTTATCGGCTTCACGCAAGAGTGGCCCTACACTCGGACTTGATTGGGCAGGGCACGAGAAGGGACACAAGACCCTTCCCACCGCCGCATTGCCATGGGAATGCTGAAGGCATGGGTCCCGAGACAGAGGACACAAGGGTACCCTTGGCTTGGCAGGGTCGACCTACTAATCAGGGCCGACTGTTGGCAAGGGTGGCATTTGGTGCGCGGGTCAAGGGGGCGCGAGGTGGCCAAATTCAAGAGCGGAGGCCGCTGCTCTCGCATCGCCCTCAGCGACCGGGAGGACCCCGGTGGGCCCGCACCAGAGGTCACTCCACCGAAGGGTCACTCTTACGTGCAGCTGACCCTACGCCTCGGCTTAAGCGAGCCGCCAACGTAGCACCCGCATGGGAAGAGTGCGCTTACACGACCTTCAAGCGTGCGAGGAGACATAAGCGGCCTCACGACGCGGCTTAGGCGAGCCGACAGCGTGGCACGCTACACTGGAGACGAGGGCGCTTACGCGCAGCCTTGCGCGGGAAGCTTACGCGCGGATGTCGGCGCAGTCGACCCCGTCTTCTTTCGACTAGACGCAAAAAGTGACCCTGGGCAAGAGTGACCTCTGGTGAGCGGCTGTAGGAAACCGCGGGGGAAGCCAAACCCAAGCAGTCCAGGCGCACCAGCCAGTGCTGGTGGGACCCCTCCTGTGTGCCCACACCAAAGGTCACTCCGGCGACAGGTCACGCTTAATTCCGCGTTAACGATTACTCCTTCGCTCAAATGGGGCAGGCGGAGGCGGAGGAGGATGAGTAGGGGGAGGAGGGGGAGGCGGAGGAGGAAGAGGAGGAGGAGGAGGAGGAGGAGGAGGAGGAGAAAGAGGAGGAGGATGAGGAGGAGGAGGAGGAGGAGGAGGAGGAGGAGGCGAAGAAGAAGGAGGAGGAGGAGGCGGACCTCCCCATCCTCCCTGCTCCCCCGTCCTGCCTGTGGTAGTGGTGGTGGACACTTGGCCCATCAACTTGCCCCTCTCGCTCGCCGCCGGGGGAGGGGCCCCGCGACAAGCTCTGTGTGCGGGTGTGGGCCGGCCGGGCGAGACGCCCGATTTGTCCGAAGCCGGCCCTCCTCCGAACCGAAGAGGGCCCTCCGGGGATCTCGCCGCATCGCCGATGCATCGCCGATGCCTCGCCGATGCGCCAGCGACGTCGGGACGGAGGAGCACGCGCTCGGGTCGGGGTCAGTCCAAACCAGGATCAGTGGGGCTCTGCAGGATCCTGCAAGATCCTGCAGGACCCTGCACCCAAACCCGGGTCAGTGAAGCCCTGGCCCTGGAGGATCCTGCAAGATCCGGCGCTCTGGCTGACCCCCGTTTGCATTGCACCCCGTCTCGTGGGACCCGATCGTGTCGCATCGCCGATGCACCGGCGACGCTGGGACGGAGGAGGACGCACTCCAAATCGCGCCGCATCGCCGAAGCGTCGGCGATGCGGAGCGTCGTCCGACTCCATCTGCTCTGGCCCGATTTAGGAGGCCTGGAGGGAAGGAGACGGAGGACGGGTTGGAGGATGAGGAGGAGGGGGAGGAGAAGGAGGAGAAGGAGGGGGAGAGGCGAGGAGGAGGAGGATGAGGAGGAGGCACTGCTCTCAGCGCCCAGCGTCCAACGGGAGGAGAGGAGGAGGAGGAGGAGGAGGAGGAGGAGGAGAAGGAGGAGGAGGAGAAGGAGGAGGAGGAGGAGAAGGAGGAGGAGGAGGAAAAAGACGAGAAGGAAGTAGAAGGAGGAGGGAGGGGAGGAGTGGGCAGGACGAGGAGGACGAGGAGCGAGGAGAAGGACGAGGAGCGAGGAGGAGGACAAGGAGCCAGGAGGACGAGGAGCGAGGAGGAGTCACGATCTGCTCAGCACAGTTTGAGAAGCCCAGATTCCTCCGCAGCGCCTCCATCGCAAGGCCCTGCAGGACGACCACGACGACGTTGTCATCGTCGCAGTCGTCGTCTCGGAGCCCATTGGACGTGTCTGGATGCTCTCGTCGGTACGGCCGGGCGCAGCTCGAACGACTGGCCAGAATGGCCCTCGGGAAGGGCCCAGAAATCAGGTTTTCGGACCGATTTCGGTCGGAGGACGAATGGCGACGGCGACAACGAACGACGACGATGACGACGACGACGACGACGACAACGACGACGGCAGCGGTGGAGACGACGAAGACGACGACTACGACGACGACGACGACGTCGACGACGGCGACAGCGACAACGACGACGCCGACGACGACGACGACGACGACGACGACGGCGCCGACGGTGACGGCGACGGCGACGGCGACGGCGACAGCGACCGACGGCGGCGCCGACGGCGACGGCGCCGACGGTGACGGCGACGGCGACGGCGACGGCGGCGGCGACGGCGACGGCGACGGCGACAGCGACAGCGACCGACTTCTAGCTTTTCCGAATAGATTTCCTCGACTTCGGCCTCGGGGGCCGCTCTCGGGTCCCCATTCCGTCAAAAGCCGATCCAGGGCGAAGAGCTGGGTAGGATACTCGGGAGGGGCCTGGTGACCGATTTCGATCGGTTTCCGACGGCGGCGACGAAGAAGAGGGACGACGGCGGCGGCAACAACGACGGCGGCGGCGACCACCACAACCCTCGAGATCCGACGTCGCCAGAAAGCGCGGAATGCACGAGAGGAACGACTAAAGGTCCTCTCCGATATCCCCCTCGTATCTCCCTGGCTGTCTTCCGGAGACCGCTGCCCAGGCCGAATTTTCGCCTGCATGTTGTGGCCGATGAACACTTCGAGTCGCCCAGCACCAGCCATCTTTAGAACAACAAGTCGGCATTCCCATTAAGATTCGGAGATCCGCGGGGCCTCTCTTGACCAGCGCTGGAACCCTGCCCCGCGCCAGGAGGAGGGGCACGGCGCAGAGGCCGAGTGGACGGAGTGGAAGGATCTCGCCGCATTGCCGATGCCTCAGCGATAAGGCACGATCCACCGACCCTACTCAATTCGACACGACTTGAGCGGCTCGTAGGTGGGTGGCCGGAGAGTCTGCCCAACCACCGTGGTCTTGGCCAACCTTCCTGGGCACCAGGCGACGCGAGCGCAGCCGGCAGCCAGCGAACTCCCCAGAGGCTCCAAAACCTCCGAGACGAAATTCCAGGCCCGACCTGCAGTCTGGGAGGATCCAGGACCTCCACGAGGGAGGCTCGAGCTCCATCGCACCTCCTCCGCGGCCGGTGGAGACGGGCTTCCTCCATGTGGGGGCCACGTTAAAGAGGGGGACCAACTCAGAGGGGGGAGCGTCGAGCTTGAACCAGCGACGCATCGCCCGCCAGTACATCGGCGTCTGGCCCCCGATAGCGAGACCCCACGCACCTGGGCGGGGTGGGCCATAGAGCCTGAATCGGCAATCACTGGGCGTTCTAGGTGTCGACGCGCTCCCCCTTGAGCCTCTTCCCCCGTATTGTTGCACATGGTTCCTCCATGCGGGGGAGGGGGGGAGGAGAAATATAGCCCTTTTTGCGACATGCACGTCTTGCGTTGTCTGAGACAGTAACGATGAAAATGTCGACTTTGATGATGACGACGATGTTTGTTTCAAAGGCAAGATATGCCCGCAGTCGCTGGAATGACCAAACCAAGTCTAGTACCATGCTGGATCTGTACTCTGGTCAACTCAAAGTAAATCTGAATCATATCCCGTGAAGAACTCAATTCGAGTCAACTGAATATGTGATCCGTTCAACTCTAAACAAATCCGAGTGAAATTTTAATCGGAATCCAATTGAATCAGCTGGATCTGGAATTTTATCTAGTCAGGTAATGAAATTCCATTCGGAATATTATTGGAACCCTCTGGATCTGTGATCTGCTCAATACTACTTAGATGTTCACTCGATCCTATAGGAACCCAATTTGAATCAGCTGGATCTGGGACCTGCTCAACTCGAATCAGACTTGATTGAAGTCCAATCGGAATCTAATTTGAATATGCTGGATCTGGACTTTGGTCAATTCTATTCAGATTGCAAATAGTTCCACCTGAAAACACAATTAAAATCAGCTGGATCTGTATATGCTGAAGTATCCTTGAATTCGATCTACATTCTGCTAGGAACCAGTTTGGAATCAACTGGATCTGGGATCTGGTCAAGTCTAAGCAGGTTTTACTTCGAGCCCAAGAGACATCGAATTGGAACCCGCTGGATCTGGGAACTACTTAGTTTAGAACGCTGGATCGAGAATCGGAATTCTGATTCGCTGGAGATGTGACCTGCTGCATGCGATTCTGATGTTCGCTAGATTCCAGTGAGAATGCACGTAGCATCAACTGGAAATTACATGTGACCCATTCTAGTTACATTCTAACTTGAATCCGATATGAACCCAATTCGAATCAGTTGGACCTGGGATCTGCTCAGTTCCAATTCGGTGTAAGTTCAATTCAGACTCGAGTCCAATAAGAAACCAATGAACACCAACTGGGTACATGATCCAATTATTTTTACGATTTGCATCGGAACCGAATTAAATACGGAAACGACACCAATTTGAATCAGCTGGATCTGGGATCTGCCCAATCCCAGTCAGATCTTTCTTATATTTCGATATGATACCACTTAGAATCAGCTATATCTGGAATCTGCCCAAACCCTATTACAATTGAATTAGATCCTAATGCAAACCTATTTGGAACCATCTGGATCTGTGATCTGTTCAAATGTGTTTACTCTCCAATTCGACCCCAATCTGCTCGCAAGTAGAATTCAATCATATTCCAATGCGAGCCCAATAGTAGCCAGCTGGATCACTGTTATAATCAATTATCATTCGACCTCCATTTCATCCAATCGGAATTAAATTCGAATCAGCTGGATCTGGGATCTGCCCAAAACTATTTGGATTCAAATTACATCCCAAGAGGAGTCTAATTTGCATCAGAGAGAGAGATCTGGAATATTGTCAACTCGAATTCGAGTATGATGGGATTCCCAGAGAAATCCAATTAGACTCAGATGGATCTGAGATCTGTTCAACTCTACTTAGGCCTAACGAGATCCCAAGAAGAATACAATTAAAATCAGCTGGATCTGTGATCTCGGAACTCGCATTCGATTCGAATGATATTCAGACGGGGAACCAATTCGAATCAGCTGGATCCCGGATCTGCTCAATTCCAACTCCCCCTCCAGGGGGGCGCGGGGGACCAGGAACCTACAAAAACATAAAAATCAGTCAAACCACAAGGAACAAAAAGGAACTCATAGCCCCAAGGCAAACACATCAACGGCATCTACGCCCCGACTGGCTGTTGGCAGAAAAGCGAACCACAACCGAGGGTTGTTCAATGTTCCCCGTCCGAAAACCAATCGGGGCTTTTTTGGCCTGGGGGTTCTGATTTGACTTATCTTCTGTTTTGACTGGTGTTCCTATTTTGCTGGTTTTCGGCACCCTCGCACCCTCCAGCGCCGCCTCCGCCTCCCTTCCCCAGGGAGACGCCCCAGTTGTCGCGGGAGGCCACGAACCAATAAAAACATTATGATACTGGAGAAGAACCCCAATCAGGGCTACAGGGCTAGGAGGCTGTAGGGCTATAGGGCTATTGAGCTTTAGGGCTATAGAGTTGTAGGGCTATTGGGCTATAGGCCTATAGGGCACCCCCGGGCACCCCCGGGCACGCCCGGGCACCCAGGCACCCCCAGGCACCCGGGCGTGCGGCGAAAGTCGGCGGCAAACCTAACCTACAATATGAATCCGCTAGGACCCCTACAGAGGGAAGCTCTGATTGGGGAACAATCAACAAACACAAAACGAAAACCAGGAACACCAACGCGCCCAGACGAAAACAACAACAAAACAGAAGCCCCCACTTAAATTTGCACCCTCTGAAGCAAAACAAACTGAACAAAAAGAGAGACAGAGAGAGAGAGAGAGATAGGAAATGCGAAAGGCGACAACAACACCACCAGGGCGAGGAGATGCGAGGAGCAAGGAGGGGCCTCCCTGGTGGTGTGGTGCCCCCCTCTCGCTCGAGACATCCCCAGCCTCCAGCTCAGGGAGGCAGCGTGGACCTCCGCGCTGGAGGTAGCCCCCCTGGTGGTGTTGGTGTCGATTATCCTCCCTCCGAAGAAAGAGCGCGAGAGAGGGAGATGCACGGCAATTCGAAAAAAAACAAGGAAACAGGTGAAGGTTTTAACGGTAAGGAATACAAGACAACCCCATCGTAAAATGGGACAACTTTTCGGCCGTACGGGTGGGGGGGTCGTCCAGCAAGCTGCTCTGGTGGGCCCACTTCCCACCACCACCACATGCGAGGCGGAAATTCATCCGTATCCACCGCCTGAGGAACCGATGTCGTGGGACCCCATGGAAGCAGCAGGTGTGGACATATTTTGGCCTCAGGGGCCCGAATGCATCCATACCCACCGCTTGCCGAGGCTCCCGAAGATCGATCATTCTCTCTGGTAACACGTCGCAAGATGACTGTACCACAAGTCAGCCGTGGATTGCTCGTAAGGGCTTTTCCAATGCGCAGCCCCAGAGGTCCCGCCTTTTTCTCCAGGGGCACTCTCCGTCCCAGATCCATGTTTGATTGTCCTGGGGCCCGACTGCAAGCCCCAGACGCCGACACCTTTGGAAAAGCGCCGAGAGTGAAAACCAACAAAAAACGATCGTCGGTCATCTCGGACAGTGATGGCGGAAAATGAGCCGACGATGTCCTGCCTCTGGGACAATCCGACGTTTCACCTCGAGAGAGCCTTGTCGCCCCGCAACGACTTGTCGGCGTGGACGAACGCCTCCGGGTCCTCTCGCACTGCCAGCCAGGCCATCTCCCGGTCCTGGCACGACGACGCATCTGCCCCTCAAGACGATGGCAGGGCACGGGCGCGAGTGGCTCGGAGATCTCTGGGGGCCTGAAGAAATATCAGCACAGGCGTGAGCTTTCGGAGGTCCGCGCGGAGATCGCGTCACAGGAGAGGCGCCGCCAGAGGGGCCAGTACCGACCCGAGAAATTCGAGTGGACCTCCGAAAGTGAATGTTTACGCAATCATCTTCTTCAGGGTATTCCAGGTAAGCCCGACCTCGCTCTTCGCGGAGCGCACAACGCAAGTGACTCCGGCAACGCGTGCTTCTGTTGATGATTCTTCTTCGACTGCTGGCCATCTCCTGGGTGGCCGAGGTTCCTTCCGCCCGCTTCCGCTGGCCTCCCGCCAGCTTCTCCACTAGCGGAAGTGGCCCCGCTTTTACTTCCCTGGGTTCCCGCCGACCCTCCGCTGCCTTCCGCCGAGGAAGGGGTGACAACTGCTTCGTTCCTCGAAGACTAGGCCCTCTCTTAGAAGCCTCCTAGATGGGGTCGGAGTAGATGGGGTCGGAGAATCGCGACGCCTCGCCGACACATCGGCGGTACATCGGCGATGCATCGGCGATGCATCCGTGATGCGGCGCGATCCTCCGACCCCATCTACCCCGACCCCATCCAGGAGGCCTGGATTTCTGGAACGCCTCATACATTTCCCAAACGGTCCTTAAACTTAGGGCTTCTCGCCTGTGTTATGAGGAAGTCGGCCTGAAGGTGAGGTCTGGCAGCTATTTGGCCGCCGTCGCCGCCCCGTCGCCGCCTCGTCGTCGCGTCTCGCTGTCTGGGCCTGAAGGTCGGTCCGGCGGCATTGTGGCCGCCGTCGCAGCGTCGCCGCCTCGTCGCCCTCAATCGTTTGGCACCTGCGAACGAATGTCGGTCTGGTAAGCTGTATGGCGTCGTCGCCACCCCGTCGCCGCCAATCCCGTCACCGCCCATACTTCACAACATAGAATGCACCACGTAGATTGTACCGCATCGAATGCAACATGTACGTTGCACAAATTAGATTGCACCACTAAGTCTGCACCGCGTCGATTTGCTCCTCCTGTGTAAAAATGGCTTCGGATCTACGCCCCACGGGATTACCCCCCCGCTTTGGGAATGTACAAATTACATATGAATCTGGCCCATCGATCATTCGAAATGTGAACTCACACCGTCCCAGCCTAACGGGTATCGACCCCCCACCATCCTGTGCAAAACCCACTATGCGCGCACACCCGTTCATCAACAATCATCAGTGTACAGATACAGAAATTTGTCGTAAGATGACGGGACGAAAAATTTTTGACGCGCGCGTCGTCGCACGCGCATTCCGGGTTTTTTACCAAGCGTGGGTTTCGCACGGAATTCAAATCGGGCGGGCTACTCGCGCGCGTCGGCCGCGCGCACATGTCGAAACCCGTCCAAAACGTTCATCACCGGCACGTGGACACCATCATCGTCATCGGCGTGGTCAGCCTCGGCGCCGTCATTGGCTTTGCCGTCGTCATCGTCCTTGTCGTCACCAACATCGTTACTACCATCGTGTCTACCGTTGTAGATGTAGCCATGGTACCGCGCCCGGCCAAGTGACCGACTCGCGCTAAGGTGCCCGCGCGTCAGCGCGGCCTGTGAGACGCGCTGGGAAGTCCCCGGCGGTGAGCGCCACCGCGGCCGCGTCGGTCGCGCCAGACTGGCTGGCCGCTTTGCGCGCGAGCTTGCGCGCGCTGGCGAAGCCGCAGCGATGCGCCAGCCAGCGCCAGGTCAGCATCACAATTGCAGCCTCATGGGTTTAGCGAACGTAGTTACGGGTGGGTAGGTGGAAAAATTGCGCGAGCAGCGAAATGACGATTCACTGCAAACAAAAACGAATTGCACCGAATGGGTTGCACAAAGGATATCCCGCCACATCGATTGCACCACCCCCTATCGCAAGGCAACGATTGCACAACATACATTACACCACATACGTTGTCCTTCATAGGCTGTACCTAACAGGGTGCACCATCACGACTGCCCCACATAGACAGCACAACATGTATTGCCCAACACATATATTGAACCACGTGGTTAGCGCCTCATAGATTGCACTAAACATTGCGCACAACATGTGTTGCTTGTACCACATAAATTGCGCGACGCTGGTTGCACAGCATAGATTGCATCACATGATGTCCACGACTTGGTTTACACACATCAGGTTGCGCAGCATGGGTTGCACACCGTAGATGCCAACACACATACTGTTTCACAGATGTTGCACGACATAGCTGGCACAATATAGACTGGACAACATAAACTGCACCACACAGAGTGCACAACTTATGTTGCACGTCATAGACTCCCTATCGTTTCTATGGGCGGACCGATGGCAGCACAACCCACGTGGCAGAAGAGCTGTTCCGGGCGTGGTGGAAGTGTTCCACTCGGCACGCACCGCGATGAATTATTTTCGTCGTCGACGCGTTGGACGTGTTCTACCCGGCGTGCAACATCAATCGATCAATGGGTGCTCCTTCGCATGCGATGCGCTCGGGACGACCGAAAAATCAATTGGCGCATTGTCAGAGAGCTCCCAGAGTCAGAAGGGTGATGAGGAGGAGGATGAGGGGCGAGAAGGTTAACCAGAGAGAGGATGAAGTAGGATAAGGAGGAGGGCGAAGAGGGCGAGGAGAGGAAGGAAGAGGGTGTGGTACGATCTTTTGGAGGAAGGCGAGCATCGTGCCTCGAGGATCGAGGTCCGAGGTTGTTTGGTCTTCGGGCTTCGGGGGCTCTCGTCGTCGACGCGGCTGGACGCATCTCGAAGCGACGCTTTCTAGTTCCAAGGACCGCAGGACGAGGACGGGCATGAAGACGAGGAGGCTGAAACATCAATAACAGTTGGAGCAGAAAGTGTACCGCTTTGAAGCTATCTGTTCGGCCTCTCGGGAATCTATTTGGGCCATCTTGAGCTCACACCACCGTCCGAGAGCACTGCACTAAAGTCTATGCATTTAGCGTCTCAGGGCAGTCTTTGGTGTCCTCTTGGAGCTTTTTTGGGCCACTTCACGACTCTCTGGCCGTCCTGAGACCCATTTGGGGCGTCCTGGAGGGCTTTGGCTGTGTTGGGGCCTTGTTGGGGCCGTCTTGGAGGGTTCTTGGGGCTCTCTTGGATCTCTCTTGGGGCCACTGGGACCGTCTGGGCCTTCTTCAGGCTGGCTTGGGGCGCCTTTGGGCCGTCTTGGGGCTCTCTTGTGCCGTCCTGGGGCCCTCTTTGGAAACCGCTTGGGCCGTCTTGGGCCGACTTACAAATCCGTGTGTGCTGTTTTGGTCCGCTTAAAGCATGAAACATACAGAACACGGAAAACCGCTATAAACCGTGGGACTCATGTTGAGGGCCTCTTGGCCGTCTTGAGGCCGTCTTGGGCTGTTTTGAACCCATGCTGTGCCATCTTGGAACGCTCTTGGGTGGTCTTGTGCCAATTGGAGCGCCTTGGGCCATTTTGGAGGCCCCTTAGACGTATCTTGGGCTATGTCGTCGCCCCTCTTCCCCTCCTTTGACGCGGTTTGGCGCTCCCCGACGGGTCCCAAAGGCCCGTGTACAAAATCAGTGCTCCCCATATATATATACATATATATATATACAGATATATACATATATATATATAGACGCACACCGATATACGATATAGACGTGGATATGTACATATATTGTATACTAGTATATGTGCACATTATGCATGTATTATATACATGTGCATGTATAGACATATATTGTATACTAGTATATGTGATATGTGTATGTGTACATGTGCATGTAAGTGTGCATAGTCGTGTATGTGTACATGTATACGTACATCTATGGTGTATGTGAATAGTGGTGTATGTATGAAGACATAAGTACCTGTATAATCATCTGGTATGTCAGATACTGCTGATTCATATGACATGTGTACATATGGCATTGAGACGGCATGTGGACATGTAGACATTGTACACGTGCAGAATGCATACATGTATGTGTAAATGCCTGCGATGTGTGTATATGAATATTCATATGGCACGGCTGTTGAATGTATATGCAGATGTGTATACTTCATATGTGTATGTATGCATGTGCATGTGCAGGTGCAAGTGTATGTACATATACATTTACATACACATGTGCATGGACATGCATATGTGTACGCACATATACATGTGTATGCATCTGTGTATGTATACGTACACGTATCCGTACATGTTTAATCTCAAACGTATTACATCTATGTGTGTACTCATACACGTATAGGTATGTGTATGTATACATGTGCGCTGCGATGCTATAGTAGAGGATCCGATGCGACTATATATATATATATACATACATACATACTATATATAATATATACCTTGTGGCTGGTTAGTATATGGCCCTATGCTCCTCTTAGCTCCACTGGCAATTCCTCATCATTGCTCCTCGTTGTTCCGCTCCGTACTCACTCCTCACTCTACCTCATCACTCCTTGATTGCTTTCTACCTAACAGCTTTTGCTGATAGGTTTCTAGTGGTGTCAAAAGAAACCATCTTGACGCCCCAGGGGGGTCTGCGCGGGAACCAGATGCGGGAACCGGACAAAACTGGCAGCCCCAGGAACCCCTAGGAATCCTCAGGAATTCTCAGGAATCCTTAGGAATCCAATCCCAGAACACCATTCCCAGGCCACATTTTGAATGCCAGGAGCCAACTGTAAGCCACTTCGTGTTCTTCGTGCTCCCAGAACACCATTCCCAGGCCACATTTTGAATGCCCGGAGCCAACTGTAGGCCACTTCGTGTTCTTCGAGCTCCCAGAACACCATTCCCAGGCCACATTTTGAATGCCCGGAGCCAACTGTAAGCCACTTTCTGTTCTTCGTGCTCCCAGAACACGATTCCCAGGCCACATTTTGGATGCCCGGAGCCAACTGTAAGCCACTTCGTGTTCTTCGTGTTCCCAGAACACCATTCCCAGGCCACATTTTGAATGCCCGGAGCGAA